AAATACAAAAATTCCATTTTGGAAAACAAATGAACTAAACATGTCTATGAGGAGTACATTACATAATCGCAACATGTCCTAATAAGAGCTAATTAGTTTATTTTTATTTGGAAAAATACAACACAGAAAAAGTGTTTTTGGAGTATCATATCCGAAGTAGACATTTCAAGTAACACTTCTTCAGAAAATGTATATCAGAAATAATAAGTATAATGAATGTTAATTATCAGAAATAACAGCTATAATGAATTCTAAAATGAATAATTATTTGACAGGACTAACTCTCTTATTAGAACTTTCATACTATCATTCTAGACATTCTTATTGATTCATAAATCTTGTGTTTTGTGTTATTCTCATATTTTCATTAATTGTGGACGCATTGACAACAAAATTATGCATCATGACTAGTAGATTACTATATAGGAAAAGAGTAAGAATGATGCATAATCAAGAAGCTGGACAAAATAAAACAAAGAAAAGATAAAAACAAAATCTTCATGTGTCTGTAGGATATAGCTCTGTAGAACTCTGAACTTCAAGACCGTGTTAAGAAAGAATCGGTTTTAAACAATAATATAAAATTCACTTTAATATCTCTTAAGCATGCAAAAATTGTTGATTTTTTTTCACTAGTTTTGAAGTCGGTTTTTGAAGTAAAGAAGAAGCTGTTATTTATTTCTTAGTTCAAACCATAACATTTCCTGAATTATTTGGCTCAATAGGTTTTTTTTTGTTGTTCATGATTATTACCCATTTCTGCTACTACTTCATTGATTTCTGTAGTTTAGTGGCTGATTTAACGAGATTACTGTTAACATTTTTTAAAGTTGTGATCAAGTATTACTAATGAAAGATGTAAATTTCAACAATAATCTCCAAAAATATACGAGTAAAATCGATCTTTGAGTCCTTCTATTTCTATTTACACATTTTGGTTCAATGTTCCTGAAGTACAAAGTTCCTGAAAAACTGCAAGTTGGATAAACTCTTTTCCTTAAGAAACATAGCTTAAGAGGATAGAGAATCACGTCTTAGTAGTGAGGATTTATGTCTGCAGCTTGAATTGTTTATTGTCCATTTCCAGTAAAATTATTTATTCCAGACTAAAGGTTATAGAATTTCACTTACAAAATGAGTTCTGCTGACATGTTAATTAAGGATAGGAAGGTAATCTTCAAAAGTATAATTTGTGTTTTTCCTCCTCTCCTACAGTTCTGAATTCTATGCTGTGTGACTTAAAAAAAATAATCTGAAACCAGTAGAATTTTTTCCACTGTAATCAATGAGTTTTTAAACAAGGGCCATTTATGCAAATGAAAGAAAACTGAGCGAGCCATTTGCAATGCATAATTTAGCTAAAATGTTAACCTCTCCTTCTGTTCAAGACTTATCGGCAAACAGATCACACATTTCTTCAATTATTTTTTTTCTATGTAGGCCTGCTATCTGGAAAAAAATTACTGTAGTGATTTTATAATCACAACTATTCATCTATTTATAGTTGTTTCTGGTAGTCAATACAGATTTATTATTTCTGTTTTTATTTCAAATGCTGTAGTTCAAAAATCTCTTATTTTATTTAAAGAGAGAATATGACCTGTTTGTCCTGTTCTTGATATTAGTATTTTCAGAACCAGATTACAGGTAGATCGTAGGATCGTAAAACATAGAGTAGTTAAGATTGAAAAAGAGCACTGAGATCATCTAGTCTAGCCATTTCTATGTCCCTGCATCCCCCTGACCTCACATCCCCATATCCTCATGTCCTGTATCCCCGCTGCAAGCCAAAGTTCCCTCCTAGGTCCAGCAGCACTTTGGATGGCGTCATGAGAGAGCTTGTTGGAAAATGATTGTACCTCTGTGGTTCCAGCTACAGCTCCTGTCCCTGAGCCCTTTCCCAACCAGCCTTCACAGAAACCAGTAGATTGCTGCTAAATAACCCAACGACCACCGATTCTGCTGAAGTGCCATTTTCTGCCCCATGCACACGTGAGAACAGTCTTGTGCAGACTGTGTTTGATTATGTTATTTTGGACAGAGGCTTTTTCTCTTTTTTTTCATTGAATGCAAGAAACAGGAAATGCAGTTCAGCAGGTAGGGCATTGGTCTAATTAGAAGAATAATGCTGTACTATCATAATCATTTCTGATAACTTAAATAAAAAAAATTTATTTAGTAAGTTGTAAACATATTCTGCTATAGAATGTTAGCAAATAACTGATACAATGCGATCTTGAATAAGCAATGTCTAAAGTGTAAAGAGTATTTAACTGCAAAGAATGAAAACAGTCTAATGTGTTTATTGTGGAAAAAAAAATAGTTGCTGATAAGTTTATCAGTTTAAAAAAGAAATAAAACAGTATAATAGAAAGACCAATTATTCCAGCATAATTATGTAGATATAATTAACAACATAAGACATTGATTGGATGCTACCCATAAGAAGAAAAGAAATGATCATTTAAAGTTTCTAATAGGAAAAAAGAATGGAACTATGTTATAAACTTGCACTTTAGATTTATTTCCTGTATGGGAAGAAAATTTCCATTGCATATTATTCAGTACCCCCTTCCCCAGCTGGGATTCTCATGAGTTCCAGTCTATATCACACCAGTAGTGCTTAAATTAATGCTCATATGCTAAAATCAAAAGGATCCCAAACACAGCTTATTTTATATTTCTTAGATGATGTCTTTGGGGTTTACCATATTTCATTAAAATACTCTTTCAATATTCAAAATTTGTTCTATATTTCTCCCAAGTGGAATTAAGCATCTGACTGAGGCCCGCTTCAGTCATTGCCAAATGATTCTATTTTTTTAATGATTGATTAGTTTACTCACTGAAGCATATTCTCATGCTCTCTAAGGCAGGAACGGGAAAGTTTTGTTGTAAATGTAATACACTCTTTATCATCGAAGAAGCATAAACTTTGTCTAATCTTTGTTCCTGACCTACAAAACAAATTCTAGTACCATGTGACCTGAAATGCCAAAAAGCATAAGGAATTTGTCTTTCTCATATATTCTTATATTCTCTTATATTCTTATTTGTTATAGCTGATATTTTCTTTAATATACAAATGTGCTTTCCTATTATTCAGCCTCCCTATCTATAGAGAATAATCTCTACCTATTGGGGACTGAGTGTAACTTCCTAGGAGGAGTTATACTAAAGGAATTATACTTGTTAAAACACTGCAGTGCTTTCTCTTAAAGATTTCTGTGAACTATCAAAAAATCTGATTTACAAGAAAAAAAATGTGTGATCTGTTGAGTTTTACAAACTCAATTACCAAATGAAGACTGAATGGAAAAAAAAATTGGGTGACAATGTGGGATTCACCTGTACAAAGAGGCATTTCCAGGAAAAAAAAATTCAAATTGATCTGAGAACTGAATGGCAAATTAGTTTGTTGTTTTATGTTAAGGCAAAGTTGGAATACAACTTCTATTGTGGGTAAGGTACTAAGAAGCATGCTTCAGTTCCTACAGTAAGACTCAGAAGAATTGATTGCATTCTGTATTAGCTTAATAATTTGACCTCTGAATTAATTTATTGGCCTGTGATTTAATTCAGTTCTACTTTTGAGATTGATTTTCTAATTAAAGTATCTAATTTCTGACTAATAATTGGTAGCACCTTTGAATTAAAGTGAATTGCTCGATTTCTTATTTGTTTGGTTCTTTTATAGTTTTCCATAAAACCTGTAAAGATGTATAGAAAGTGGTTATACAAAAAACCTACCAATTCACAGTCTGCAGGATCTGAATCACGGACCAAATGTGAATGATCCAAATCATTTACTACAAGTTCTCACATCACTTATATACCTTCACAAGTTTTCTTCTTCTAGCTTTCCCATCCACCCCTACAACTTTCCCATCCACTTTTACATGTCAACAGAGCATTGTACAAAACACTCTTCAACTGTTCACACAGGCACTTATCCAATCAGAGCCATGAGACATTCTTTCTTCTAGAGGTGTCCTTGGTTCTCATGTTGTTTATCTTGCTCCACAGCTTCTTCTCTGAACAGTTTTTCTTGTATTCCCTGAACAGTCCTCAGAGTTCACTGAAGTACATCCTTTTACCTACTGAAATAATTATCTCTCAAACTCAAAAATAGGTTCCCAGACAGAACAAATGATTGCAAGAGTTTGAGCAAGTTTTCCAAGATGCTAAACTGAATGTTTCCCTGTATTTGTTAAATGACATCACTCAATCCTCCAATAGATTGTGAAGTAAGAAAACTCAATATGTATATGAACTTGAAGACTGTGGTCATAAATTATGTGAAAATCAACACCTTGTAACACAGTTTTCATGTACAGAAAACTCAACAAGTGATTTTGTATTTTTGTTAATAATACCACGCCATAGTAGAAATAAAGTATAAATTCTGCTTAGTATTTTTAAATATTTTACCTGTTGCTGCATGCAAGAAAGTAATGTAAAAAGAGACAAAATTACATGAATTTTCTTTTCTCCTCTGTTAGCATTTTGGCTTTTTTCCATATAGAACTTGTATGAAAGTAAGAAATGTCAGCGATAAAGACATAGTTAAAAGCTTCACACTTGAATTGTCAATTAATTCTTTTGTGTAGAATTGAATGTAAGAGCCCATACTTTTAGTCAGTGATGTTGAGAAAACTGAGATATAAATGAAAGCAGTTAGAGCTGAGATCATATGCTTATTTGACGAGCTATAATGGAATTGTTTGCAAAGCTTTATTGAAATCCCCGCTTTCATTTATCATTGTTAGCACAGTTACAGAAATCTGAGATGTAATATTCCTATATAAATTAAACAAACTATAACAGAGTTAGACAAGAAAAGGAATAGAAAATATTTTATTCCAAAACAAAAATATTATTCAGGAAAATATCTATACATTATTACTTTGATTTTCATAACTACTGGTTTGGGTTCATTTCTTTAAGAATCCTAAAACTGGTGAGAAGATAAAATCAAGGATTTGGAATAATGTTCTTACTCTCTTTCGTCCAAAGGATAACTTCTGTATTCTGGTAAGCCCAAGCTCTGCTTCCTAACCACTGAGAGAGAAGATTATCATTCCTCAAAGTGCTTTATTGTCTTCCACTGCATGCTGCAAGATGAAAAAGTCCAGGCCAACCTGAGTTGTGTTAGATGAGTAAGAAGCTTTGGTCAAACAGACACCTGTTCTCAGTCCACCAAGATATTTAATTTATAAGTATGTAATCATCTCCAAAGGAAATTGAAATCACATAACTTTAACCTCAGGTTCTCATCAAAATATGTAAGTGGAAAATATCGTGAAAGAAAGTCTAATCATGAATTCAATAATATTTTCTTACTGTTCTATATATATTAAAACTATGATTGATAGGGATGTAATATGCAGGGATACTAAGTAGAGATGAGCTCACAAATACAGTTGAAAGGCAATGAAAATTCGTCTATTAAGGGAATTCAGATTGAGTCAATTTTTTTGTTTCTATATTTCATCATTTTCTTATGCAAGTCTTATTAGTGAAAATACCTTAAAAGTTGATTTAGTCTAACAGATAGAATTCCAATGGCATTTTCAAAATTGTTACTGAATGAAGATATAAGCCTAGAATAGCTAGGAGAAAATAATACATCAACTCTGAATTGAACACTGTTTTCAAGAGCGAACAACCTGCGTCTTTCCACATGCATTACTGTCACTTGTCAACTTCATCCTCTCCCCAAACCACTATATTCTTGAAGAACACAAATGATGTTTTGGCTACAGGGATATGCCTAAATTATATAATCATTTGAAATTCTTCCATTTAAAAGTTATTTAATATTTAAATTTTTTTCCCCATAAAATTGAGGTCTGTATACGCGTGTAAAGGTATGGGATATTCATTACAAAATATCAGTGCATATTCCCATTACACAAATGCTCTAAGAAAGCCAGAAGATGACAAGAAAAAGATAAACACACTTTTATCTTAATTGTTTTTAAATAAAAGTTTAAATAATCCGTTTTAGTCTGCTGAAGTCAAACCAGGTTTAAAATGGTGATGCTAAAGTACAGCAAAATGTATATTGACAGCTTTTTATGAAAACATTTTTAAAGCATTATTTACAATACTAGCTGTACAGTTTACTAAATACACCTTTTTTAATACAGAAGAACAAATTGTTTCATTATTTAATTTTCAAAACATTCAACACGATGCATTGTAATTTAAGTCAGCAAATGAGTTCATGTAAATAAAAGGTACCTGCCTCATTTAGCAACCTTTGCAAATAGCAGACTGCATGCTTAATTTTTTTCCTTTATGTATTTTTTAGTCCTGAGAAAGGGAATCCGATATGATAGACCTGTTCCTCTGTGTTTCACTGAGAAGTTTCTATTGCGTAGGTGAGGAGGAAATTTTTGTGATTTTTTTTTTAGTTAAAAATCTCAAATTCTCTTGGACAATTCAAGGGAAAAATGAAAATACAGAAGCCTGAAAACAAAGTTAAAAATTCAGAAATTGTTTATAAATATGTATGTTTCATAATTTTTCCACATTCATTCAATACTGCAGTCTGTATTAGCTACATTACTGATAGCACAGAGAAGTGATTTCAGAAATTATACATTGGTACTTACCTTTTTATCTTCCTTTAAATACATTACAAGCAAAAAATAAGTTTTCATTCTCTGAATTTTGATTTTTCCTATGGCCACGAAAAAATTGATATGAAATCACCACTGAAAGACCTTGCAATAACAGTACTAAATATCACCTGTATTTGGAATCCTCATTCTCAATGCAAACCTATCAGTTGCTAATTTGATCACTGTTACTGGAAACTTTTGTAATCAAAGAGAGTTTTCCCACAGGCTTTGAAAAAGCCAAGATTTTACCTTATAAATTTCCAAATATTTAGAAATTTCAACTCACCCACATGCTTTTGGGATACAGAGAAGTCAAAATGTACACAGTTCTTTTTATTAGAAGGAAATTATATCTGCTGACTTTTAACAGTGCCAAATACATGTGAATTTTCTTCCAGGTATTTGCTACTTCTGTAAAGGTACTGGAGTTGTTTGACTCCCTTCTCCAGAAGACACTTAACAGTGAGTAAATTAAGCATTTCAATATGAGTTTCACTTGATCTTTCCATTGGGTAAGGCATATTTTCTACAGTATTTATGCATAAATATTTATAATATAAGTATGCTCATCAAGAGAGCATTGCTGTATTGCAGGGGAGCACTCATGCTCACAAACTAATGCTTAAGAAATGTATGAAAGGTCTATTCCATGTCTGATACATCCAGTTCGGTGTCAGAAGAAACCAAATTTCTCTTCCTGAAAGATGAAACTAGGTTGACTGCAACACTATGTGATTTGAAATGTCTTACTGTTTTGGTTTTGCCCCTACCTTCCCTGAACTATGGGACTGATTGTGCTGCAGTCAGTATATTTAATACATTCAGAGATAATGAAGAGCAAGAAAAAAAATGCTTTAAATTTCAGAGAAATGGTAGGCCTGACTCTCAAATTAGAACACTTTTCTGCACCTTTGTTCTACTCAGTACTCTACAACAAATTGCTGCAGAGTGTACTTTCTAACCATCCATTTCCTTCAGAGAAAAGCAGCCTTCAAAGGCTCTTGTTTATAAAAATGCATTACAATTATTTAAAATAACTTTCAGATTTATGAATTTTTTTTTTCAAATAACTGTTATCACATACCACAGCCTTACTTTCCCTTCAAACACCACTATTTAATAAAATGCTGAGTAATATTATGTAAAATTGGCAATATTTTGAAACTATATTTTTAATGACATCAAAATTGTGTTTCTAGAGATAATATCTGAGTATCACCTAGACTAAAAATTGTTGTTAGATATGTCATTCATGTTTCAACTCTCCCCAGATGTCTATTATTATGTAGGAAATCTTAAATCCAACTCAGGAATTGGATGAATTGTATTTTTTCTACTTGTTTCAGCAGAAATAGGATTTTCACTCATTATACTTCTTGATAAATCTGAGCTACATTACAGCACAACCATTATTATTTGATGATCAATTTGAAGCTTTCTTGCAACTGTATACATAGTTTTACTAAAGTTTGTTTATAAATGTTAACAAATGTTAACAAATCAAATATAAGTTGTAAGAGGTTTTCCATTCAAAGCTAAATTAAATTTTTGGGAAGACCTTGTTACAGCTGGTGTCACTGCCAACAAAGCAAAAACTACTTTGAGCAAAGTAATCAAGTTTTCATAAAACATGTTCATGTTATCCTTGGAGGTATTTAAAATGTAGGCTGCTGAATTTGTGACACATTCAACAGACTGTCACCTTAGAGTTCCCCATTACTAAAAACTATATCTAATTTTTTTTGTTGTTGTTGTTCCCCCATAAGATTTTAGCTAACTAATAGAATTGCAGCATAATACCACACTCAGTTTTGGCAATGCAGTCAAGAATACAGTACAATGTAGCAAAGACTTAGCCTTTAAAACCCATAATTTCTTATTATCTTGTTTTCACTGGCATAAGATGGAATTATTCTTAGGTAAAATTAAAGCAGTTAAGAATTGAATTTTCATCAGCATTCAGTTTTAGTTTACATTCTCTTGTAAAAACAGTTGCAATAGAGATATCACTTTTACTCTCTGCAAAAATTTTGGCTACATCATCACCTTTATTAACACAGGCCACTTAATTTTAAATTGCAGAGCAAGAAATTATTAAACAAAAAATAATCTCCCAGGTAAACTTTATTCTTATCTGGAGCATCCATATTTCAATAATAGAAGAAAATATTTACTGGGGGAAAAAAAAAAAAAAGACCTTGTTTAGCTCTTCATGGTTACCTCAATAATGCCATGAGGAAATTTTTTGAAGGGATAAAATATTTCTCTAACATTAAGTGTTGGATTTAGTGATGATGAATCCCATGAGAAATCTTAGCAGCAACTTGCTGACTAGCATATAAAATTCAGGAAGACATTTATCAATATTATATCCTTCTCCCAACATCTTTATTTATATTTATGTTTTGTTAGCTTTCTAAAAAAAACCTCAAATCCTGCATAAATCTATTAAATAAACAAGATGTACAGAAATTCCCAAGAAAAACTGCCCAAACCCAGTATGGCTTTAAAAGGCATACATCTATGATATCAAAAAAGATACGTTAAAGGGCAAAAAATTCTCCATACTTTCATCTGCAAAATTTTAAACTAATATTTGGGGGCTTTAATTCTTTCAAATTTCATTTATTTTTCCAAATATTTGACAATTATCTTTCCCCTGCATAATGGCTGTTATTTACATGCTTATTCTGAGATAGCACAGGTATTGCAGTCTCTGTAGTAGGTACATTTTCACAGAAGGACAATACAACATGTTGATTTTTTGTGATAATTTTGGAGGGAAAGCCATTATGAATAGACAATAAGCTCATATATAAACAGGTAAACATCTTTACTAATTAGCATAGCAGAAATGAAATGACAGAAAAATGCAAGGTTGGACACTTGGGACACAGAAAAACAAGTCTTTGAACTGTTCAGAAATGAAGGCTGTAATTTAGAAAGAAAAAAAATACACAATGCTGTTTCTTCAACACAAACTGAGCTCCAATCATTATTTTCAATTGGGACCTTAAGAGAATGACCAGGACAAAGCCAAAGCTTACTTTCCGGAATATAATTAAATATAGAACTTCAAATATTTCATTATCCTGAATTGCAGAAGCCTAGCAAGGCGTGTGTTGCATCAGCAAAAAAAATTAAGGTTTTTCTTTTGAAGTTACAGACCATACTAAGAAACATTGTCCTATGATTTTTATTTACATTTAATTAAAATTCAGGTTCTCTTCCAGAGAGTTTCAGTAGTAAAAATAGTATCCAAATGTTTTATGTTTTTATAAAAAACATTAAATTTAAATCATTTTAAAAGGCTGAAAAAATATTCAAAAGACTTAGAAATATAAAAAGGTTTGAAATGTGTTCAAATATGGATCATCTCTACCTTTGTTAGAGAAATAAGAAGAAAAAAATTAGCCTAAATATACTTTATGAGAAAAGTATCAGTGAGGAGGGTCTTTCTGAGTGATGGAGATATTAAAAATTACAGTTTATTTTCAGGCTTGCTTTTACTT